CAAAGTGTGGTGGCAGCAGCCAGGCCCCATGTCTGTCGGAGGGCCTCGGGACTGTGGGGAGGCCCAGGGTGGGCCCGGCAGCCCCCTCCCAGCTCTCACTGCTGAGCAGCTGCCAGCAGAAAGCAGCCCCCTGGCACTCCTCAGGAGAGCCCCTGGCTTCCACCTCCAGGAAGTCCACAGCTGCATCGTGGGAGGGTCAGGGGGAGCCTGAGGTGCAGAGCAGCCCCCCGCCCGCTAACTGGTGGAACAGGCTGAGTCGAGGGCTGCACATGTGGCCAGCAAACTTGGAGCCTGTGGGCTCCCACGGACATGGCTTCGCCAAGGGACGCCCGGCGGGAGCTGACAGCCTGCATTCCCAGCCAGCCCTGAAAGTCACAGGCCTCTTGAGCTTCAGAATACTGTGGAGGGGCTTCTGAGAGGCCCCCTCCCTGGGACCCCAAGTGTGAAGGAGTGTGGTGGGCAGAGTTGGGGCACGCCTTGCCTTTGGACCCCCCACCAAGCGCCTGTCCCAGCATTGGGGGGATGGGAAGGGTCCCCCGCTCTGTGGCCTCTCTGCTCTTTCACCGTGTGACCCTTGGGCAAGGCACTAACCTTTCTGGGCCTCGGTTTCCCAATCAGTCATACACTTCCTCCCCAGTGGGGCGATTAGAGGGTCGGTGAGGAAATGGCCATGAAGCCTTTGGTTGGGGCCCCATACTGGGTACTCGGGGGCCATCCTCGTTACTGCTTCAGAATGCGTGAATCAGAGCGCTGGATTCCCGGGCCCAGGGGACGTAGGCTCGTCCGGAGAGCAAGGAAAGCGTTGAGCCACAGTGCAGACATCTCTGCGGGGTGGCGGTGACGAGATCTGTGGTGCGAGACACCCCTCCCCCGGGCCTCCAGGGGCCGTGACCCCGGGTCTGTAAAGGATCCCATGGGAGGAGAATAGTAAGTGTTCCTGTGTGTTCCTGGCTTAACCACCCCTCGCCTTGGTTCCTATGGCAGCAGCTGGCACCTCGCCTGGCTCCGACAGCCCCGGTGACCCCGCTGACCTCCGGGGACACCAGCACTCTCCGGCTCCCTGGCCCAGAAGCGCAGCGGTGGCCTGAACCGGACAGCGGTGGCCTGAACGTCTGTCTCTGTCTCTGCTCCCGCCCCCTTCCAGAGGGGCCGGTCACTGGAAGTGGGGCTTGAAGCGCAGCCAGGGCGAGGAGGCCTCCAGCAACGCCCCGGCCGGCGGGCGAAACAAATAAATAAATAAATAATCAGGGTTGTCTTGGCTGATAA